TGAAGACAGCGGCCTGGGGGGGCTGTGGAGGGGGTGCTGCCCGTGGGGTTGTGGGTTGGGGCCCAGAAGACAGGATGACCCCCTCCCCGCACACCCGCCCTCCTGTCTGTTGAGGTCACCTGTCCATTAGGACTAGGTTAATGAGAGGTTTCCTGAGATAGTCATGCGATCATCTTTGTTTAAAGATGTTTACTTTTTGCAGCAGAATTATGCAGCTCTCGAGTTCAAAATGGGACTCTCAGACTCCCCTGGGTGTTTTCTCTTCCTGCCCTGAGTGCAAGGGCCAGTGAGGCCGCTGAGCTGGGCGGGCGGTCCTGGCAAGGACCCTGAGCTTCTGGTCTCCTCCCCAGCCCTGGCCACCATCTCCAGCCTCCAGAGCTGTGGGGCCCCAGCAGGTGGGAGGCCAAGGCCGGGCAGGTGCCCATGGGTGGGCACCCGTGGGCGGAGCCAGCCGGGCTCTCGCTGCTCACGCTGAGCCGTGGGCTCCTGAGGAGGGATGGAACGGAGAGGAGGCTTCCTCTGGGTCGGGGGCGGTGGGTCGTGCTGTTTGAACCGCTCTTGGCCTGTGTCTGGTTGGAGTCTTCCATGCTCCACCGTCTTGCCGAGCCTTGTTGCCGCTTCTCACCAGCGAGCTCGGCAAAGGACTGAGACGCTGTAGGACGGCCCAGCCCGGTGGGTGCGCGCGGCTGGAGCCGTGACTGGCGTCAGAGCTGGTGCTTGTGCCGGTGGCCCTGTCGCGCAGGGGCACCCACACTCTCAGGCTGGCGTCCGACGGCCTCTGAGCCCATCCTGAGACGGCTGGTAGACGTCCACACACGCCCACCCGGCTGTGGCAGTTGCTGGGAAGCTCCGCACAGGAGAGCATCCCCCAGATGACCCACCGCGTGTTCACACCCAGCCCGTCCTGGGCTGCCAGGCCTGCTGCCGCGCAGGTGAGAGGCGGACGCGTGTCCTGGGGCTGCCTTAGCTTTCCCCCAGCGCCCCCGCTGCGTCTGCTTCCCGGTCAGCGCGTTGTGGTCTGGCGCCGGACCTGGGTCAGCTCTCTGTCTGCCTCCAGCTCATCCGTGTCCTGCCTGAGCTCTGGGGTCCTGATTTCTCCAAAGGGTTGGTGGAACCAGCTCCCAGAGTCTGGACCGGTGTTGAGTGTGGCGTCTGTGGCAGTAACTGAGTGTGACGTAGCTGGCATGGTGCCATCCGCTCACTGGGGGGTGGTCCTGCCCCCTTGGTGAGCAGTCCCTGAGATTGGAGATGCGCGTCCTGGGGCTCCGAAGCCTGGCGCTGGAGTTTCCAGTGCACTGAGTTACGGTACCGTCACCGTGGGGGGGCATTTCCCGGTCGGTGTGCCGGCTGGGAAAGTGCCTTTCTGTCCCAGTCGGCCCCTTTGATCCCATCCGGCAGAGGCAGGGAGCCCTTCTGGGTGATGGCCGTCCCACAGGGCGCTGGTGCTGGACAGGCCTCCTGTGCCTTCCCCTCGAACGTCAGGCTCCGCTTGCCGGTTTCCTTCAGCCTGGACGGGAGGGTTCTTGGAACGTTGTTGGCACGACAGACCCTCGCTGGGTGCCCTGCCGCATAGGGATGGCTCTGGCGCAGGCCCTGTGTGTCCCTGCTTTTGTCGTCTTGGAACGCGAGTGAGTCTTTTGTGAGTACTGAAAGGTTCCGTTCCCGGATGCTAGCCCCTCGCGGTCCTGACCTGGGCAGGGGGCCCCCGTTGCCCCCGCCCACAGCCCTGTGACGGGCTGTCCCCAGGCCGGCGGCTCCAGCGCGGGCTCTCATCCAGGCCTTGTCCTGCACAAGGTCTGTCTGTGGCCGGGCCTCCCCAGCCTCTGCGTCAGCAAACCCACCCACCTGCCTGCCTCCACGGGGGTTGAGAGGCTCCAGATGCGGCTCTTCTTGGGCAGGTGGGCGTGAGCCCCCGCACAGAGGCCCGCATCCTACCTGGCGTCCCGCCTTCTCTGCCCTCGTTGGGGAGCCCAGGAGGGGAGTGCGATGTGCTGTGGGCAGGCCCCATCCTGTGTCGTATTTTGAATCGGATCGGGTCACTTGTGAAAGCTTTGCGTAACAACCCTAAATGCCTGTCTCTCATTGAAGGCCTCTTGAGCCCTGGTTGAAGGCTCACCAGAGCTCTCGACACCAACACACATCACGTTCTCGTCATTACATGCAACAGATTGTGTGTGTTGGTGTCTGGACACGCGTCGAACTTGCAGAGGGGAGTGGAACCCCGGTGTCTCTGTAGCTCTCGTCTAGACCCGACAGTGCGCGCCGCGGTCCTCTGCCCGCCTGCTGCTTGGATGTCGCGGTGCTGTTCTGCGTACAGCGGGGGCGGGGGGGGGGGGCACGCCTCTCTGTCGGGAGGGTCAGGGTGGAGAATGCAGATCAGCGGGGTGCGTCCTGGCTGGCACCGCCTTCCGCAGGCGAGCTCGGAACCCTGGCGGGTCCTGTTGTGCTGTGTGCTGCCCACCGGGCGAGGCCTCTGCCTGGGAAGCTCACTTCCAGCACTGGAAGGCCTGCGGCGGTCCGGGCCTCAGGCCCTTCCCTGTGGGAAGGTGGGGCGGCCCTCAGGCAGGCTGTCCCGGGTGAGGGTGAATGGGGAGGTGGTGAGCTATGCGCCTGGCCGGGCAGAGGCTGTCAGCACAGACTCCGCCGGGCAGCGGTCCCCAGACCTCGGTGGACCCTGCGCTCTGCTGTCCTGACTCCACCCCGAGTCAGGCCCCTGGTTTTCCTTCGCAGGCGGGGTCCTGCTCCCACCGTTGTCCGAAGTTCCAGCTCTGAACGGTGTGGTCTCCTGTGGTCACTCCCTACCCGTTCCCTGTCCTCGGTCACAGGCCGCGGCCGCTCCGGCGGGGCTGCCAGGCCTTGAGGCGACCCCGTCTCTTCTCTGGCGCCTTGAGCCGGCGGCCTTGGCTTGTCCTGGGTGGAGGTGTGACTGGCCTTCCGGGTGCGCCGTGGTCTTGTGCAACTCGGGACTTTCTGCGAGCACGCTGGCGCGAGCGTGTCCATAGCTCTCAGCAGTGGGGGCCGGGCGGGCGGTGTCACAGGCTGGCCTCTGGTGGGCAGGGCGTGGCCGCCACCCTGTTGAGAAACCCCAGGCTGGCCTCGTTCGTTCGCGGGAGGTGCTGGGCGGGCCAGCCGACTGGTTTGTCTCATTATCTCTCCCTTCTGCCTCATGCCCCCTTCTCATTGGTTAGAATGATGCAAGGGCACTTGCCTCCTCATCTTTGCTGAGCTTGACTTGACAGCGGGGTGACTGGGCTTCACCCGGAAGCGTGCTCCGCTTTCCCGAGGCCGCACCTTGCGGACCCCAGCCTCGCCATCTCCTCCCGGGTGGGGGGGGGGTGCCTGTCCCACGCCCCTGTGTCTCGATGCCGGAGCTGGACGCCAGCCCTGTGCCCGCTTCTCCTCCTGCTCGAGCAGGGCTGGTTCGAGGCTGTGCGACGATGGCGTCCCACCCTCACCTGCTTGTGCTTGTTTCCCGTACCTCACGTGGCGAGTGCGGGGGTCTCTGAAGCTGTGAGGCGCGCGTGCGGATCACTTTAAAGGTCCCTGCACCCACCCCCGTCGTCCGCGTCATCGTCTCCTGTTTCTCGGCTGCGTGGTCTGTGGGGTCTTTGCTCTCTGACCGGGGATTGAACCTCGGCCCTTGGCAGTGAAAGTGCAGCGTCTTAACCACTCGGCTGCCAGGGAAGTCCCTCATTTGGTTTAAAACTTTTGCTTAGCTTGGTAGGATGCACCCTTAAGGGACGTGGCGTTTCCTGTCCCTTGCTGAGACCGCAGTGTCTTGAGCAGAGCTGAGCGCCTGGAAAGGGCCTCCCTGGCCCCTGCTTCCCTCCGTCACGAGCCTGGTGGCTGAGAAGGAGCGCATGACCTGGGCTCCTGGCTGCCGGTGTCTGCACTGCTCTGCGCGAGCTTCGCGTGGGGAGCGGGCCAGAGCGGGCTGCGCGGGAGAGTCCCTTCCCCCCGAGTCTCCCCAGGCCCTGGGCCCCAGGGAGCCTTTCCTGTGACTTGAGGACCAGCTGGCAGGTCGTGCGGTCTGTCAGGGTCCCCGCTGCCTCCTCTGCATGTTCATGTGCTCCGCCATCCTGACCACGCCGGGCATGCCATCGCCCGAGACCCCTGAGCTGGCTTCTCCCCCTGTCCTGCGGCGGATCCTCAGGGCGCCCGGTGCACTGGCCTGCGGTGGGCATGTGCGGTGCTGAGGAGGGGGGCTGGCTCGGAGGGGCTGCCAGGGCCGCCGGCGCCATCCCACGGGCCCCGTGGAGGAGGCAGGCCTGGCTGTGGCCTTACAGACGAGGCTGCTCCGTGGTGGGTGCGAGCTGGGTCGGGGCTGGTGGGGACATGGGCGGGCGGGCGGGCGGTGGCTGCCTCGGGCAGTGACGCCTGTTGGGTGGTCGCTTGAGTCGCCTGGGGGCGACGGGGGCAGTCAGGCCAGTGCCCAGGGCAGAACCAAGTGCCAGACGGTTCAGTTCTCGGCCAGAGTTGGGACAGGGCCCTATGATCGATGGCCAGGATGGAGTGGCGTTTGCACAACTGCATCCCCACCAGCCCTGACCCGGCTCGCGCCTGGGCCCTGCCCTTGCGGGCCACCGAGGAGGCCGGGCTCGGGGAGCTCCCCCGCCGTGCCTGGGCCCTGGCGCCCCAGCTGCGTGCCATGTGGAGGGAGAAGCCGCAGCCCTGGGCTTGTTGGCGCCTTGTCCCTCCCCCTCCCCCGAGCACGCAGGCAGCGCTGCCTGGGTCCACGCCGGCCCTGTGCCCTGCCACTTGGGCACAGCCTGCAGGGAGGGGGTCCCGCGGGGCTGGGCTTCACCGAGGTGGGGCGTCTTGGGCTGGGGAGTGGGTCGGGGCCGCCGCTCCGGGTGTCCCTCCCAGGCCAGGGCGGTGCAGCCGCGCTGTGAAACGCCTCGTGGTGTCGTCGGCGCTCGGCCTAGTCTGAGGGAGTCAGGAGGGGTAACCCGTGGTACCTTCCCCCATGTGACACCCCTCTGTGCTTTGTCAACCAACAGGAGCTTGAAGAGATCCGCAAGTGTGGGATGAAAAACTTCCGTAACATCCAGGTCGATGAAGCTAATTTGCTGACTTGGCAAGGGCTCATTGTTCCCGTGAGTACTGGACACCTCCCCTCCAGCAGCCCCGTATGGGGCTGGGCGCAGGGCCGACAGGCGCCCCCCGGCCCTGGTCTCCTGGCGTTCAGGGTCCCCGCCTCCCAGGCCCGGAAAGGCCGTGTGTCCAGGCCACACACCCAGTGCAGACCAGCCGCCGCCTCCTCCCCTTGGGCCTGGGATCCCGTCATGTCCTCTCTCTGCGCTCCCGCCTGGCTGCCCGTGTCTCTGGTCGTCATGCACCCGCGTCCCAGCTTCCTCCCAGGCCCCCTCCCGCGCTCTCCCGGTGTCCCTGGGCTCCCGCCCCGGCTCTGCCCCACGTCCAGCTCCCTGCCGCCCAGACCTCCTCTGAGCACGTGCAGGCTCTGCACCGCGGCTTCCTGTGGCCTCCCCACCCTCTGGGTTCAGCGTTCCTTTTCTGTGGCCCTTCCTTGCTCCCACCTTCAGAGGCACATCCCACAGGGCCTCCAGTGGGACCCTGGCCCCCCGCAGCGCCCGCCGGAGCGGTCCGGCCACAGCCCCGAGGCCCCCAGTCCCGTCCTGCGCGCGCCCTCAGCTTGTCCAGCCTCCCGCCTTCCTGTTGCTCTGTTCTTTGTCCCGGGGACCCTGCTTCTGTTCCCCAGGGGCTTAGCAGTGAAGTACCTGCTTGGCAGTGCAGGAGACGCAGGTGTGATCCCTGGTCTGGAAGATCCCCTGGGGAAGGGAATGGCAACCCACTCCAGTATTCTTGCCTGGGAAGTTCCACGGACAGAGGAGCCTGGCGGGCTGCAGTCCGTGGGGTCGCAAGAGTCGAACAGGACGGAGCCACTGAGCATGCAGCCCTGCCTCTTCAGCATCGGCCCCGCGTCCTTGCTGGGTGTGGGGCTGGAGTCTCAGCCTCTGTTCGGCCTCCTTGCTGGAGGCGGCCTCACTGGGACGCCATGTGCCTTCCATGTCCCCATGGGCTCTGAACCAGGACCCTCGGACGAATGCCGCTTGCCTCCTTGTTCTTCCTGCCTCCCACCCCCACCCCCGTGCATGAAATCTCTCCTTGTGGGCAGAGGGGCCGCTGTGCCTGAGCCAGCCGGGGAGCATGCTGACCAGAGATGCCGCCCTCTTGGCCCTGGTTGTGGGCCATGCTTCTGCACAGACCCCTGGAGCTTGACAGCGCCCTGGACTTGCAGTTCAGTTTTGTGATCGTTTGGAAACCTCAGCAGAGAGACGCCGTGTAGTGTCAGCGCACGCTGAAAACTAGATGGCGGTGTCCAGCCTGGCTGTGCCCAGCCTGCCCACTCTGGGGACCCGTCAGGTGCCAAGTAGAAGGGGGCTGCCACCGCCGCTCGCGGGCTTTGTCCTCTGCTGATGGGGTCGGGCAGCAGCTCAGGTGTGGGCCCTGTGAAAAGTGCTGGGAGCCGCCGGGGAGGGTTTGAGTGGTCAGGCTGGGCCGTCTGCCCCAGGAGCTCAGCGGTGGCTCCGAGCACCGGTGGCTGTCCAGCAGACGTCCCCAGGGCCGTGCTGGCAGGGCTGGGGCTGGGGGGGGGGGTGACGCCTCGTTGAGCACTGGGTGGGGTCCCGGTGGTCCGGCCTTGCCCCTGGGGCAGCGGAGCGTGGAGACCGAGGCCACAGCCGGAGCTGCTCCCACCGCCTTGCTGCTCATCCCAGGCTCGGATGCTGGGGCGGTTCGCCGTTGCCTCCTCTAGGAAGCTTCCCAGCCCGAGGGTCGAACCCACGTCTCCTGCCTCGGCAGGTGAGCTCCTCATCGCCGAGTCAGCAGGGAAGCCCCACATAGTTGTGGCGCCTGAGCCTAGTCGCTCTGCGGTGTGTGGATCTTCCTGGACCAGGGATTGAACCCACGTCTCCTGCACTGGCAGGCAGAGTCTTAACCGCTGGATCATCAGGGAAATGCTTAAAGTTTTTCTTTTAAAAAATCAGTAGATTTTGCTTCATCAGTTTTTTTATTGTGATTAAAATTCATGTAACATAGTTTGTCAGTTTAGTCTTTTTTTAACTGTACAATCCAGTGACATTAATTACAGTCAGGTTGTTCTGCAGCCATCATCACTGTATTTCCAGAATCCGTACTGAAATAAATTCTCCAGCCATAAATTAGTAATGCTGCGCTCTCCAGCCCCGAACCCTGGTACTTTCTAATCTGCTTTCTGTGTCTGTGAGTTTGATAGTTTATATAAATGAGTTGTATAAAATTTGCTTTTTTTTAATCTGGCTTATTTCAGTTAGCAGAATTTTTTGAAGGTTCAGCTGCTTTGTACCCTGTATGAGAACATCACTTTTATGGATGAGCTTATCATAAGACTATTGTGGAATCAGCTCTGCCACACGTGTACCGAACCTTGTGTCTATTCATCCTCCGCTGGTGGACAGGAGGGTCATTTGCCTCTTTGGCCGTGTGGTGCTGCTGCTGTGATGTTGGTGTGCAGCTGTCTGCTTGAGTCTCCGTCTTCAGGGCTTTGGGGAAACATGCGGAGTGGCTAGGTCACGTGGCAGCTCTGGGTTCAGCTCTTTGAGGGGCTGCCATGCTGATTCCCACAGTGGCTGCACCTGTTACAGCCCCACCACCAGAGGACAGGCTTTCTTGTACTTCTGCATCCTCCCCTTACCCACAGTGATCCCCCTTACCCACAGTGATCCCCCTTACCCACAGTGATCCCCCTTACCCACAGTGATCCCCCCTTACCCACAGTGATCCCCCTTACAGTGATCCCCCTTACCCACAGTGATCCCCCTTACCCACGGTGATCCCCCTTACCCACAGTGATCCCCCTTACCCACAGTGATCCCCCCTTACAGTGATCCCCCTTACCCACAGTGATCCCCCCTTACAGTGATCCCCCTTACCCACAATGATCCCCCTTACCCACGGTGATCCCCCTTACCCACAGTGATCCCCCCTTACCCACGGTGATCCCCCTTACAGTGATCCCCCCTTACAGTGATCCCCCTTACCCACGGTGATCCCCCTTACCCACAGTGATCCCCCCTTACCCATGGTGATCCCCCTTACAGTGATCCCCCCTTACAGTGATCCCCCTTACCCACGGTGATCCCCCCTTACCCACGGTGATCCCCCTTACCCACGGTGATCCCCCTTACAGTGATCCCCCCTTACCCATGGTGATCCCCCTTACCCACGGTGATCCCCCCTTACCCACAGTGATCCCCCTTATCCACAGTGATCCCCCTTACGGTGATCCCCCTTACCCACAGTGATCCCCCCTTACAGTGATCCCCCTTACCCACAGTGATCCCCCTTACCCACAGTGATCCCCCTTACCCACGGTGATCCCCCTTACCCACAGTGATCCCCCCTTACCCACGGTGATCCCCCTTACAGTGATCCCCCCTTACAGTGATCCCCCTTACCCACGGTGATCCCCCCTTACCCACGGTGATCCCCCTTACAGTGATTCCCCCCTTACCCACGGTGATTCCCCCTTACCCACGGTGATCCCCCTTACAGTGATCCCCCCTTACCCATGGTGATCCCCCTTACCCACAGTGATCCCCCCTTACCCACAGTGATCCCCCTTATCCACGGTGATCCCCCTTACTCACGGTGATCCCCCTTACCCACAGTGATCCCCCCTTACAGTGATCCCCCTTACCCACAGTGATCCCCCCTTACAGTGATCCCCTTTACCCACAGTGATCCCCCCTTACAGTGATCCCCCTTACCCACAGTGATCCCCCTTACAGTGATTCCCCTCTTAGAGTGATCCCCCCTTACCCACGGTGATCCCCCTTACAGTGATCCCCCCTTACAGTGATCCCCCTTACCCACGGTGATCCCCCTTACCCACAGTGATCCCCCCTTACTTACCCACGGTGATCCCCCTTACAGTGATCCCCCTTACAGTGATCCCCCTTACCCATGGTGATCCCCCTTACCCACAGTGATCCCCCCTTACAGTGATCCCCCTTACCCACAGTGATCCCCCCTGCCCATTTTTGTATGTTATCACCATTCTGTTAGATGTCAGCTAGCATCTCATGGCCATTCTAGTAGATGTCAGCTAGCTTCTCACAGCAGTTTTGTTACACCATTCTGGTAGAAGTCAGCTAGTGTCTCACGGCGGTTCTGTTACAACCATTCTAGACATCCGCTAGTGTCTCGCAGTCGTGCCCGAGGCTCGCGCATCGGCACGCCCTGATCACCTGGAGGGCGTCGTGTGCGAGGGTCCCGCTCAGCGCTCCGCGTCCTGTGCGTGTGCACAGCGTGTGGTGCCGCACGTCAGCCGTGGGGGCATCGCACGCACAGGGTCGTCTCCCTGCCTCAGCCCCCCCCTCGGCTCCTGGCCGCGGGTGGCGCTTTTCTCTAAACTGTCTTCCTCGTCCGCCCGTTCTGACAGAGTCCTACAGCTGGGCTCATACGAGAGCTGCTCAGGTCGTCTTCCTTCACTGAGTAACATGCAGTTAAGATTTCTCCGTGAATTTGGATAGTTCGTGTCTTTTTAGCACCAAATACTGTCCCATTGCCTGAGTGCACAGTTTATTTGTCCATTTACCCCCGAAGGGCATTTTGATTGCTTCCAGATTTTGGCGATTCTGAATAAAGCTGCTGCACACGTTTTGAGTTGGGTTGTCTTTTTGTCTTTCAGTTGTAGGAGTTCTTTTTGTTAAACTCTCATCAAAATAAATAGATGAACTCTAATCAGACGTATCATTTGCAAACATTTTCTCCCATTCAGTCTCTTGATTATGTACTTTGGTGCACAAAATGTTTAGTGTTCATGAAGTCCCCTTTATCTGTCTTTTCTTTTGCTGCTTGTGACATATTCAAGAAACTATTGCCAGACCCAGGGTCATGCAGGTTTGCCTTTTGTCCTCTTCTGAGAAGTCTTACAGTCTTAATTCTCAAACTTAGGTCACTGATCCTTTTTTTTTTAAAATGGTGTAGGAATAAAGGTCCAACTTCATCCCTTTTGCATGTGGATATCCAGTTTTTTTAGGGCTATTTGTCAAAAAGACTGCTCTTTCCCACTGAATGATCTTGGCATCCTTGT